CGACCTCCTCGTCCTCGTCCTCGTCCTCGTCCTCCTCGTCCTCGTCCTCGTCCTCCTCCTCTCCCTCCCTACCCCCTTCCTCCTCCTTCCCTCCTTTCCTCCTCCTCTCCCTCCTCTCCTCTCCTCTCCTCTCCTCTCCTCTCCTCTCCTCTCCTCTCCTCTCCTCTCCTCTCCTCTCCTCTCCCCTCCCCTCCTTTCCTCTTCTCTCCTCTTCCCTCCTCCCCTCCCCTCTCCTCTCATTCCCTTCTCTTCTACCTTCTTTTATCGATCCTTCGATTTTGTTCAAGAGCTGTCCAGATCGCCTCTCCTGAATCTCTCAAGAAGAACGACAACATCGATGTCATTCGCCTCTTGACCTTCGGTCGAGTTCACAGGCAAACCATCTTCGAGACGGCATCATCTGCTGATTGACATGTCAGATACCTGCGGAGAATGCACCACTGGCCGATTTGGACAGGACCGAGTCAGGTGTGAAGGTGGATGGAAGGATAAGGATAGAGATATAGTGGAGGAGGAGGAGGAGGAGAGAAAGGGAGGAATGGGAGGAGGAGAGAGAAGAGAGAACAAGGGGGCTGGGGGTGTGGGGGGGTGTGGGGGGGTAGTACGAGTGAGGAGAAGGGAGAGGGAGGGGATGGTAACAAAGACGGGACTGAAATAAGAGGAGAACAGTCAAGGGGAAGAGGCTGTGGGACTTTGGGAGGAGGCAGGGCTGATAGAAGAAAAGGAGAGGAAGAGAAGAGGAGGTCACGAGGGGGAGATGAGGAGATGAAGAGAGGAGAAGGTCGAAGTTGTCTCACTTGCACAGATGTTCTTCGCTGAATCTGCGCTCTCTTTGCAGTCAAGCATCACAGCGTCAAGGAAAGAACCTGCAGCATCCCAGGGCAACAACGGGAAGGACTTGACGGCGAAGGTGAGAGGATGGTACGGTGCGACAGCGCGTGACGCTGGTTGAACAAGCTGCTCTCCCTGTGCGATGGCTCGAGGTGTTATGATGCCATCGCATGCGCTATCGGGGTGAGGAGCGGAGGAGGGGTTTGTCCTGCTGCTGGTCCTGACTGTTGTCTTGGGCTGCAGTTGTCGATCGAGGAGGTTGAGAACGAGTGTGAGTTTTCCTCCATGACAGTCGTGATTGTCATTGCTCGCTGTCTCCCAGCCCAGAATCTCTTGCTCTCTCCTCCTCCCTCTCCTCTCCTTCGTCTCGTGTTGTCTCCTGCTCCTTCTCTCATTGACATCACAACTTCAGTCTCTCCCTCCACCCTTGTTCTCACTTTTCACTTGTCAGGCACCAACGGAGCACACAAGGAGGAGATCATCATAATCTGCCGCATGTCAGCTGCAGGGTCAAACCCCGACAACCCATGAGCATGCTTCGCTTCACTGTTTCATTACAACAAAGAACACTGAACCATCATGCTTCTAACTCAACTCTTGCTCTTGTTCAGTTGTTCTTGACTTTCACTTCACAATCACCGTCCCGTCCCGTCTCGACCCATCACTTGCCCTGCCCTGCCCTGCCCTGCCCTGCCCTGCCCTGCCCTGCCATCCCCTGGGCTGTCCTTGCCTGCGCTAAACTGTGCTGTCCTCTCCTGCCCTTCTCCTTCTCTCTTCTCCGCTTCACAGGCTGTTATCTGAATCTTCATCGTCATCTTGTCCTTCGTAAAAGATTCGCTTCGCAATCTCTGACGTCTCCCCCTCCTGCTCAGCCCCCCCCTCCTCCTCGTCACCTTCTCCTTCCTCCTCTTCTTCCTTCCCCAGCACCGCTAGCCTGCTCCCCCGCGCTCCTCTCCTCCTCCTCCCAGCGTCCTGCTCCTCTGAATTCGATGCTGCTGACCACGTTGCAGGGCTGAAATCTCCTCCTGTTGCCGATGTGACTAATTGGGAAGGGGCAGGAGGAAGGAGGAGGAGGAGGAGGAGGAGGAGGTGGAGGAGTACGAGGAGGAGAGCAGGAGGGGTAGGGAGAGGGGATGATTCATACCGCATGCCACCAAGTCCCCGTGACGAAGGCCCTCTACCTCTGCGGCAACCTCGTCAAGGAGGGAGGAAGCAGCGAGCAGTCTCACACCTCTGAGGATGGGAGAGAAGGGTCCAACAGGAGCCATGGAAGAAATCAAGTTGCGCTCTCCCTCCTCCTCGAATATCCATGCTCCCTCCTCCGCCATCAAGTTTGCGCTAATCAACTCCTTGAGCCTGCAACCGGTTATCGTCATCGTTTCCCCCTTCCTCCTTCTCCTCTTCCCCCTCATGTTTCACCTCCCCTTGCTTCTCCTCCTCCTCCTCCTCCTCCTCCTCGTTCTCGTCCTCCCCTTCCTGGTCTTCCATCTCCTCCTCGTCCTCACTCGTTTCATCCTTCTTCTCCTGCCTCTCCTGCACCACAATCCTCGTCTCCTCTCCCTTCCTCTCTCCTCCTCTTCCCCTCCACCTCTTACCGGCTCAGATCTCTTGGGCTGCACAGTTCCTCTTGCAAAGTGATTCCCTTGCTCAGCACCAGCTTCGCGTCTGAGGACACGTTCCCCAGCACGATCGCGTGCTCGCACTTGATCTCGCTCCCTTCCATCACTGACACCTGAGCCAGACAAGCCGTCAACTCATCCTGCTCCTGCCTTCCCTCGTCCTTCCCTCCCTCCCTCCCTTTCTCTCTTCCTCGCTCTTCGTCTCATTTGATACCTGCGCGCTGTCGCCCAAGCACATACCATACTGAAACCCGCTGAAGAAAGTCTGAGTCCAGTCCAATCCTCTTCCTCTCGGTCTCGGTTCTGCCCGCCCCCCACCCCCCTAACTCCTCCTGCTCCTCCTGCTCACCTGATCGCTACTCGTCTCAACGTGCAGTTTGCGTCTTCCGTAAAGCTCAACGCATATCCTCCCTGGCCATGAAACATTACGATATGCCTTCCTCCTCCTCCTCTC